CTGAATTCTTAAAATATTATTTACGTGAGCGTCGTCTTCAAAGGGTTAAATACGATGTGACCGTTCAACTTCCCAAACGACCCGTCGATTCCGATGGATTGCACTGTCGGCTGTACAGCTACCTGTAGTACCAAGTCGACCGATGGACTTTCACGCCTTCCCACCCAACGCACTGCCTACGTCAGTAATTCTGTTGTACTGCGGCCACATAATCCGCGCCGCCGAGGGACACAAAGTACATGAGGCACTCAGAGGTCAACGGACCGCAGGGCTGACCTCACGGTCGTTGCCACAGGTGGCAGAATTGTGCGTTGAAAAATAGCACGTCAGTACAATTGCTGAAAACGCCTCTGCGAATGCATGAATACAAATCGATTTTATTTTTATTTATTTTTTTTTCCAATTCAGTTGTGATGTGGCAATCAAAGGAAATTGTAATAAGTATTAATGGAGCAGCAAAACAAAAAAGAGTAACATGCTTTAGTACTCAATTTAAAATTTGTAAGCCAAGCCGAACTGGCACATTTCAAATGACTACAAGCTATATAACAATGAAATATTCTATCACAGCAACCTGCCTTCTTGAAGATATGCTGGATCATTATTGTGTAAAGACAATGAGCTTCATGACCCATGCCTCCAGTCCACAACCTCCCACCCTATTTATCTAATATACACTTTAATATTATCCTCACATCTGCGCCTCACTCTTCGGGGTAGGCCGTTCTTTCAGACTTTCCAATCAAAACTTCGAACGCCCATCTCATCTTCCTTGATTTTATCATCGTAATAACGTGTGGTGTACGAACTATGAAACTCCTCATTCTGCAGTCTTCTCTCTCCCCCCTCCCCCCGTCACTTCATCCCTGTTCTCAAACACCCTCCATCTTTCACACAAGTCTGTATAAATCTAATTACGAGTTCCGGTTCTTACAGCAGTGCATCGATTAATTTTACTTGCAACCCTTAAACCTAACCTGAGACTCGTTACTGTGACAACTTACCGCGATATAATTCGTGTCTCTGCATTTACTTCATATGTCAAGAGAATTCGCTGCTACGCTTCAGAAATATTTATATTTTAATGACCGCACAAACAAGCCAGTATTCTGTCGCCGTTTCAACCTCTGTTCCTTCTACTCTGGGTTTAGTTTTCCTTCAAAACAGTTTCGTTTCGTATCACTTAAATCTTTCACAGAATCAACATCATCAGGTTTGTAGAATATGATACAGAGAGAGGTTTCTATTTCAGCCAATTAAGTTCTATCAACACTCGAGTTGGCTTAAATTCCTTGTATAACATGAATGACTACACGTACGATATATCTGATATCACCTTCTACCTTATTTGCCTCGATACACTCAAAATATCATCAGAGTAAATTACGAAACAAATGAACGCAAATAAAGACGACGATTTACGACGAAACCACATCTAAGTATCCTGGGGATTCCCCAAATCTACCAGAAAGAGATTCTTATTAAATTCAACTGCAATAGTTATTAAAAAAATTAATAGCAAGACACATGGTCTTCCCTAAACGTCGGACAGGCCATGGTAACCGGATTACAGCAACATCACACGATGCAAATTTTATGAAGTTAGTCTCAGTGATATTCAGCCGCCATCTGTTTTGGGTTCATCAGGCTAAAGACATTTGATTCACTGCAGTTACCAGCCTCTTAATTGCGCCTGTCATATAACTTAACTCGAATGCAAATTTCGTGTACGTTTTCTGACGAAAATCTTTCAGTATGGGCACAGAACGCGGCTTCTCGCCCTGAACAAAGAACACAGACTAAGGGCGTTTCAGAACAGGACAACATTTCAACCCCAGAGAGCACGAAACGGCCAGATATTATTAAAAAGAATAACATAAAGACGTGAAGAATCTGTGGGCCATGTAGCATGCATAGGCGAGACGAGATATACAGAGTTTTTTTATAAGAAAATCTGAATTACTTAAAACAACGAAGGATAAACTGGACGATAATATTCAAAAGCATCTCAGAGGTGTATAAAGTGGGAGATTGTAGAGTGGAATCAACTGGCTTAAAGTAGTGGTCAGTTGTGAGTTTCATGAAAACGACAATGAACCTGCACGTTGCATAGAAAGGCAATCTCTTGAGCAGCTGAGCTACTGTTAGCTTGCCAATCAGGACTCTGTTAACCCCTAAATAACCCGCAACCCATTCAACACGAAATCCACGACATAGACCACTCATCCTCCCATCAAGCGCAAATTTTCTTAATGTCACTTTGTGTTCTTTCCCTTACAGACTGCTTCGGGCTAAATGATCCAGTACCTCGTCTCTGCCTCACAGGTGACGATACTTAAAGATGCTTTGCCTATAAAAGAATCTTCTGGTGTAAAATAAGGACATGATCACATGAAGGATTGTGGCAGGAGAGTCGATGACCTCCATCAAATCACCATGCGTTTCGCCTAGAAGTACCGAGAGAAACTAAGATAAAATCTCGGTTACTGTATCTATAAATCAGCTAAGATATCCAAGATAATACATGTGAGACGTGCCACGAGCTATGACATGACTTCCGCTGAGTTTTTACACCCCTGCCAAACAGCGACCAGAGATGTCCATTTCTGTGTGTTCGGTGATGAACCAAACCGGATTGATCACAAATGAAACAATGTTATAATTACGTTTCCCTGACAGGAGCACAAATGGACACACGGAAACACTCCCCTTTCACCCCGGACACGCGATCACAAGAGCGCAAGAATTGGACGTATGAAGCAGACTGATGACTAAGGGCAAATGTACAGTTTTCATAATGTACTAACGACATGAAAATTGATGGATAACAGTGACGAACTCTCTGGATCAGAAGGTTAGGTTATCACACTAAAATGCGCCATTATCGAATTACTGCTGGCTGCGAGCGAGTGCGACGACAAACATCATCGGGGCAACTGCCCATTGGGATTAATGTAACTACGCAGTCTGCTCTGCAGATCATTCCTCATTGCAGCTCGTTTCATTTGGTAAATGCATTTAGACTCTTTAAAGTACAATGGTAACTATACGTACCACCCACATTTGAAAAAAAAAAAAGATTCTATTTTTGTTAACCAATTGATCTTCGTAATGGTGAAGAGATTTTTTCTTCGCGGTACGGACTGAATGTTAAATTATTAACACGAGCTTCGGCTTCAAAGGTTTAAAAAATGAACTATACGTGACATGCGAAAATTTATACTCTTCATATTACAATTAACTTACAACCACAGCGACAAGTCAAAATTCAAAATTTCTCAATTTTAAATCAGGTGGTAAATATGGTTACCACTGGCCTATATAGCCTTAAGATAAATTTATTTACCATGCCTGAAACAATGGTGGTTCTCATGTCATCGTCATTGTCTTATTACAGAAGTGAGTAAGACGAAAGTTGGTACGACATAGGTGTATAAAGTGGGAGATTGTAGAGTGGAATCAACTGGCTTAAAGTAGTGGTCAGTTGTGAGTTTCATGAAAACGACAATGAACCTGCACGTTGCATAGAAAGGCAATCTCTTGAGCAGCTGAGCTACTGTTAGCTTGCCAATCAGGACTCTGTTAACCCCTAAATAACCCGCAACCCATTCAACACGAAATCCACGACATAGACCACTCATCCTCCCATCAAGCGCAAATTTTCTTAATGTCACTTTGTGTTCTTTCCCTTACAGACTGCTTCGGGCTAAATGATCCAGTACCTCGTCTCTGCCTCACAGGTGACGATACTTAAAGATGCTTTGCCTATAAAAGAATCTTCTGGTGTAAAATAAGGACATGATCACATGAAGGATTGTGGCAGGAGAGTCGATGACCTCCATCAAATCACCATGCGTTTCGCCTAGAAGTACCGAGAGAAACTAAGATAAAATCTCGGTTACTGTATCTATAAATCAGCTAAGATATCCAAGATAATACATGTGAGACGTGCCACGAGCTATGACATGACTTCCGCTGAGTTTTTACACCCCTGCCAAACAGCGACCAGAGATGTCCATTTCTGTGTGTTCGGTGATGAACCAAACCGGATTGATCACAAATGAAACAATGTTATAATTACGTTTCCCTGACAGGAGCACAAATGGACACACGGAAACACTCCCCTTTCACCCCGGACACGCGATCACAAGAGCGCAAGAATTGGACGTATGAAGCAGACTGATGACTAAGGGCAAATGTACAGTTTTCATAATGTACTAACGACATGAAAATTGATGGATAACAGTGACGAACTCTCTGGATCAGAAGGTTAGGTTATCACACTAAAATGCGCCATTATCGAATTACTGCTGGCTGCGAGCGAGTGCGACGACAAACATCATCGGGGCAACTGCCCATTGGGATTAATGTAACTACGCAGTCTGCTCTGCAGATCATTCCTCATTGCAGCTCGTTTCATTTGGTAAATGCATTTAGACTCTTTAAAGTACAATGGTAACTATACGTACCACCCACATTTGAAAAAAAAAAAAGATTCTATTTTTGTTAACCAATTGATCTTCGTAATGGTGAAGAGATTTTTTCTTCGCGGTACGGACTGAATGTTAAATTATTAACACGAGCTTCGGCTTCAAAGGTTTAAAAAATGAACTATACGTGACATGCGAAAATTTATACTCTTCATATTACAATTAACTTACAACCACAGCGACAAGTCAAAATTCAAAATTTCTCAATTTTAAATCAGGTGGTAAATATGGTTACCACTGGCCTATATAGCCTTAAGATAAATTTATTTACCATGCCTGAAACAATGGTGGTTCTCATGTCATCGTCATTGTCTTATTACAGAAGTGAGTAAGACGAAAGTTGGTACGACATGCTCTGCGCATGCTCTGCTCAGTACTACCGTACTGCGCGCGCAGTATGCACTGTAACAATGGAGCGAACACCGCCGCTCAGAATGTTATTTGATCGGTTAGTAATACCTGCCGTGCCGTGCCGTTCCGTTGCATGAAGTGACCTCACTTGGTACTTACCAATGGTGGTGATGACAGTGAGAGAGTAGAGGAACCATCCGGAAAATGACAAGGTCCGACTTCGATTCCCGCTGCCCGTTATATCGTATCCATCCTGGATAAAAGAGACGATGTGCTGCTGGTATGCTTCTAGCTCCTTCGATACACTTTGCCTCCAGGTTTCCTGAACGAGACAATAGTAATTAATTGCCTAAAAATCTGATACGGGCCGTGAAGTTTCCATGGCAACCGAAAGTGGTAAAAATCACATCGGATGAACATCCGAGTCACAACGAAGACGGACACTCCGTGATGATTCAGTTTGTTAACTTTCGATGATTCTCACACTTAGAGTTATTACAACACAGGCACATTGTGTGATATTGTTACATGTGCCCCTTGTTCAGTATTTAAATATTGCGCTGTGTGAATTTACGAATCAGAAAGCTAAGAAGTGAAATAGTTACATCTATTTCAGAAATATATCCTAAAAATGTTTAATTTTTACGTAGCAAATTTAACGTTACGAAGAAAAATACATTTTAAATGTCCCGTTACAAGAAAATACGTATGATTTGAGGTTATCACAGCGGTGAGTATGAAGATTTTGTCTTCTGGGTTGTTGCGCTGTGTAGTATGTATAGATGTTTACCAACGTTTCAGAGGTCCATGCTGCCTCCATCATCAGGGCGATGAAGAAAATAATTGGGATGTAAAATCTTAAAGAATTATTGTTTTGGTATTGATATCTGATTTGGAGTGCACATTTCCATGAGTTTTTTAAACCTGGAAAACGAGAGAGCCAATACCTTTAAATTAATTTTAGTTAAAAGATTCAAATAAATTGGAATAATTTACTGGCAACTGAAAATTCTCTCTGAGAAAATGATGGCCTACAGTTATCAGACGGCGTGATTTAAGCGTCGATGGGGCAGCGAGAAAAACACGGAGGAATGTGTCAGTGGAGTTTAAGCCTGGACCCAGGAACATAGGCGGTTTTTACGTTCATACAAAGAGGTGTCGAATCGCAGTCAACGAGAAACTACCGACTCGTGAGAGAGACATGTGAATTTATGTGTCCCTTTTCGGGCTCACACCACTTCCGGTATTCCGAAACCAGACCCCCGTAAACATCAAGAATTTAACGGATTCGTAAACTATTTGTATACATCGTCATACCTAAATGTCGTTAATCTAATACGAGCCGGGTGTACCCAGAGCTGAACTAATTTTAAATTTTAATATCCCCGTGAAGTACGCTGTAAAATAGAACTGGATGTTGAGTGCATTACTCAACGCTAGCTGAGTCGTGCTGATATTACACGGTAATTTTACAGGAATGTCCAATTCCATGCAACATTAAATATGTTTTTAAATTGCACTGTTGGCAATAGAACTAAAATAAACGAAAATTAAGTTTATATCGAGACAGAGAGACGCTACATTTAACGGAGGATACAGAGAATAAATATTTGGCTATAAAGGTTCCCAGGCATTGTTCGGTCGTCCTTCTGATAAATGCTTTATATTTAAATTGGAGGAAAAAGTGACTTGGAACGTACCTCAGAGAAGACGTTCAGGCCGCAGCAAGAAAGGTCCCAGAGTCTGAGCGCCGTGTCATTCCGTAGCTGACGCACTCTGGCGCCTGCAGAAGGAGTGTCACCTCCCTCGATGGCGCTGAACACAAATGCTCCTGCAATAGTGTAACCGACGACGAGGCCAATGATACCAACATTACTAAACATGAAGGCAATAAACTCGCGGAAATAGTCCTTACACTTCTGCCCCCACGACTTTCTGCGGTAACGTCCGGAACCATACCTTCGCGATGACCTTTTTCTCTCCATGATGAAAGCAGGTAAAAGAGCGACGAACCAATCGACTGCCTTGTATTGTAGGAATTGCGTCTACCGTCTTTAATATTATCGCAGTTGCACTTTTCGCAAGAAACATCACATTCGCTGGCTGAAGACAAATCTTCACGTACGACACGAGGGCTGTTCCAACATGTTTCGCATATCCGCCGCTTTGTGGAGCCACCGTCGGTAACTGAAGTTAACCAAAGAGAACAAAAATAAAAAAAATCTACCCACAAATCTCTTACTTTGTTTCCTTGCGATGTTTTTCTAGTACTTACTACTTCAAAGCAGTTTATCGGGTTTTTATTCGTAGCACTAGAACCAAAATGTTCCTGAACTTCTACCGAAGAACACATAAACCAAAATGAAAGGCTGTTTGCAAACAGTACGGAGGAAAAGTGAAGTCGCTTAAGAACTTTTAAATGTTGACGCAACATAAACAGGGCACGCTCCAAAATTGGGAAGGCATGCAAGTTGGCGTTTATAACAGGTACCGTTTCCTTGCAGATATTCGCTCTTCTGAAAAATATCAGAATTAGCAGAGTGCCTTTGGAAAAGCTTGAAAGTAAATACGACCTTACAAAAACCACAAGTGACAAGAGATTAGCACAGATAAACTCTCTCTCGATTTTACTTTTGTTCATGAACGGAGACCTCGCTTTCTGAGAACAATCAGAGAACCGACTTCCGACAAAACTCAGTCTTCTTACAATGTATCTCACACGCGAAGTTGCCCACAAAGTATCGATAATAGGGCTTGACGCAAGACGCCGCTCTTGAACGAGAACTAAGCTTTTCAGAAAAGTTACACAAAAAACAGCCACATGAAAGCTGACGTGTCTTCTCCCTTCGCCCCCTTCGCCCCCTGTATCGCTGTACGTTCTTGTTTCGGGCGATTTACGTAGCTGAAGACGTAAGCCCTTCCCTTCTGGCAATGTCGATGTCTGAGCGTCTTCACATGGTGCCATGCTGAAGAAACATCTGACTGTGTTCCTGCGTTATGTGTTCTAAGGGCGACATTACACTCGCACAGCTTCACGATTCATGCGAACTTCAGGTCGGAAATCAAATTCTCTTCGAGTCCTCTCAATCGTGAACCAACGCCATTCTGTAAAGAATCAAAATTATTATTACTACTCCGAATATAATAACAAATGAGAAGCGAGTGACAAATGAAACACCCATCTGGTGTAGCATTTACATGGTCCTTTGAGAGACACTGCTGACTGTGGTCTTCTGGGTAGAAAGAAACCCCCCAGAGGCAATCTGAGATCTCTATCAAATAATTAACCGTAAAGATGGCTGTCCTCTGGGATGTTGGGCCGTGCAGTCAGGTAGCTACAGACTGACGTTTCGTAGGTACTTACAGCCTCCATCATCATGACCACCAAGTAATTTAACTCGTTAAGTAAATGACTAGGTATATGGCGCATCCCCCCCGCCAATAGATGCAGTTCTGAGCCACTTCCGTTTTGCGAACCAGTGATTTTGATGAACATATTTTAATTTAATTAAGTCTCTGAACACTTGTCTGAGAGCTTAGCCACTTGAGGAAAAGTGGTAATGTTACACACACACGTTTCGTGACATAATTTCTGTTCAGACTCAGCGTAAAGTAACATAACGCACTACACACGGATGACATCCAGCCACCAGAAAGAACATCCGACGGCTTGGATGTACTGTGTGCATTGCCACATCGTCCACCGAAGTTACAAGACCAAGGACGTAGATTAATGAACGTTCTGAAACAAGGTGTCACGAATTTTGACAATCTCCCCCGCTCTCGCCTCCCCCCCTCTCCTACCAGAACA